AAATTTCAACTCCCACAATCCTTAACTAAACAGGAGCTGAGGTGCACATCAGGCAAAAGTAAACAGAGTTGGCTTGTTTGTGGCTCAGCTGTTGTATAAAGCCAAGCATGCTTTATGGCACATTGTGTGCAAATTGTGATTGATTCAAATAAATCATGGGTTATATGAAGTATACAATATACTACTGCAATATCATCAACATTTTTCTTTCTTTTTCTTAAGCCAGGGTGGATAACCTTCAGGAGCTGCTAAGATAAGAAAGGGGATCATTCAATGCTGGGTTTGTTGGGGGAGTTTCCTGGTATTTTGGGGGGCTATTCTTCTTTAAAAGAATATCTATCTTATTTTAGAGCTTACAATACAGCAGGGATACCCAAAGATTGTTGGTTGAGGATTGCACTTGGATTTTGAGTAGCATGTGATGAACAGCTCTCCGAAAAGAACTGTATGGATTCAGGAAAAAAAAATTATTTGCATTAACTGCAAATTAAGAAAAACCCCAATATATTGGGAGTCTCTGCAATCTGTACTTCAAGGCTACATGTAGATTTAGGACTTCAAGGTCTGCACTTCTGCATCTCACTTTGCATGTGGGTTGGGTTTTTTTTGCCTTAATGGGGCATTTGCTGATCACTGACGCCTGGTTAGAGGTGACTCTAGAGATTGCAAAGCAACCTTGGGAGGCCACCTGTAGTCTTAGGGGAAAAAAAGTGAGGGAAAATGTTAGGGAAAAAAATGACTTCTTTTAGGCAGAATTGCCAGCAGAAAGAAGTAAGTAATAAGAACTGAAGGCCAATTATTGTGCTGCAAATTGATCTATGCAGTCTAAGCTTTTTTCACAGCATAAAACCTGTGTTGCAGTTACTGCAAGCTGCTCTGAAAGCTTTGATATAACCAGCAAAATATTGGATGTCAAACAGGGTATCACAAAGCTAACTACGCCGCCTGCCAAGCAGTGTGCTGGAGCAAGCAGAGAAGGGCCAGTAAACTTGGAGCCCAGTTGTTATTTTCACTGGAAGTTTTTGGTTGACCCTGATCCAGCCATTTTTTTCTACAGCTGAATCACCAACACCTAGTATGTTTTTGGTAGCAAAGTGGTGGGATGCTATCAGTTCGCCCCAGTTTGGGCAACCGGTAGTAGTGGCAGAGGGAGCCTCCACCCACCCGCCTGCATGTCATCAAATACACTCTGTGCATGCGCAGAAGTGGTGCATGTGCAAACCAGTAGCAAACCCACCACTGATGCACCCCCCCTTTGTTTCAACAGAATTGTACCATCCCACCTTATCCCTGTGGCAGCTCCAGACCCCAGGCTCAATTATGTGAATTTTTCTTTTTTCTCTCTCTCTCTCCATGGTCCAACTCAGAGGTTTTCTCCTGTAGCACACAAGTCAGTTTTCTCATCCTACCTCACTTGACAGGTTGACAAATGTTCTGGCAGAGACTATCTGCAATCAAGGAAAGGCAGGCCTGGTGACTGCCTTTACAGGCACTTAGCAGACTTGGGAGCAGAAAAATGGTTGGGTTTGAACAACACGCTAAATCACAAACTTGCCAATATCATTTTTGCCTAAAGGATTGTACAAATCCAGCCCCGTGTTTAATTTATGTTTTCCTGTATTGTGGAACCCAGAAACTTGGATTGAATAAAACACAGCTGACAATGAAGAGTAAAAATATAAATGTGCAATCTTTTCTTTGTCATTATGTAATTACCCAGTTTTGGGGGCTACAAATCCACCATAATACTCAAGTTCAAAGGTCAGTTTTGTCAAAGAAATTCACACCTGGCACATCTCCCTTCCTTCCAGTACAATATATGGAAGGGAACCTTCAAAAGATGCAGCTACTATTAGGCTGTGTCTGTTTTAGGAAAAGCTTCCTTGGATCCCCGAGTGGTGGGAACGTGATATATACAGTGTTGCTTCTTTACGGCGATACCTTTCGTTCAGCAACCCAATGCATAGAAATTAAGCATTATTTTCTCTTTCACTTCCTGTTCTGGCGGCGCTAAGGTTAGAATGCCGTATTGCAAGCTAACTCTGCCCACTGCCAGGAATTCAATCCTGACTGGCTCAAGATTGACTCAGCCTTCCATCCTTCCGAGGTTAGTAAAATGAGGACCCAGATTATTGGGGGCAATGTGCTGATTTTATCAAATCAGCCTAGAGAGGGCTGTAAAACACTGTGAAGCGGTATAGAAGTCTAAGTGCTATTGCTATTCTGTTAAAAATGCAGGAAGGCTGAGAAAAAATAACAAAGCGTTTGAGATGAATAGCAGTGCCAACTTTTACTGTCTCCTCTGGCCAAAATATCAGATAAGGGCTTTCATGGCACTAAACTGCAGATCAAACTCCTGATAAAAGGCACTGGTGGTAGATGAGAGCAGGAGAACATGCTAATCAGCAGAAACGTTTGGGTTCAGCCTGATTGGTGTGTGAATTTGCTATGAAAGTAACAACCCACCTGAAATATTAAGATTGGATCATACTGTTTACATGTTTACTAATGCTCACTATGACAAGTGGGTCGGGTGGGCGGTTGCTATTTTAACTTTAGTTTACCACTGGGCTTAAAAAAAGAGAGAATTTAAATACAGTATGCAATTTCCCATTAGACCTCAGACTGCTGAAATCTGTGGTTAAACTATCAAAATGGGCATCCATTTTTGTAAATTAAGACTCATCAGTGTTTACCAAGCACCTGCCCTAGTTTTATGTCTCCCTGTGCAGAGCCTGAGTCCTTTTATCCATTTATTGCTGCATTTTCTCCTGTCTTCTTCCTCATTTACTGTGCAGAGTAAGAGCTGGTGTGTCCGGTCAAGTAGGACATCATTGCATTTTTGGATTCATTAGTGTAGAGAACAAGAACTGATGGTGCTTCTCGTTTCTGTGGATGGCACTGCTTATATATTCCAGCATGCATCAGCTACTTCCTTCACTCATAGAGCTTTTTTGGGCAGAGTCAAGATTATAGAAGGTATTAAGTAAGACATTTTGACATTCACCACATTCCACGTCTTGTATTCCACAAAGAATCTGCCGCTGAAATCCTTACAACCTTCCTGAGGGATAGGGATTATCATCCCCATTATTATAGACAAAAGTGGGGAAAGGGGTAGGATGTCAGAGTGCTTAGTGGAAAACCACTCAGTGAATTCAGGGCTGAGAAGATATAAGGATGAGCAGGACGATGAAAAATGCTTCTGCCAAGCAGCCTGCAATGCCATTACCAATTACACAGTTCTAAGGCCAAAGTTACTATCAGTGTCATATACTATCCATTTGCAATTTTGCTCCAAGGATACCGTATTTCGTTTCTCCTAGAAGTGAGCAGCAACTCTTTTTCTGTGTCTCAGAATTCAGCGTGAGAATCGTGGAGAATTGATTCATCTCCACCTGCATAGCCTCCTTTAACCCAAGTTCGGGTGGGCTTTTTTTTTTGCTTCATTTTTTAAAAAAGAGCATAACAACAGAGAATGTTAGGGAGAGACTATTTATATGCACATCCCTATTTTAATCAGACCCCAATAGTTACATGGGGAGGGGGCTATTAGCAGTGGGGGGGGAAGCATGCAACCAGGACTGATGACTACAATTTGCATCTTCACCGCAGCTGGCAACACCCACTCATTGGAATGTCACTGAGTTCCTGGTGCATGGATAAATATTTCATTGTTGTTGTTCCCCCAGATCAAAGACCCAGTTTTATTTAGATACTCGGGGGCGTTGTAAGCAATGGGGGAAAAAAAGACGAGGAAACACTTCTCAGAGAAATTCAGGCTTCTCAATTTCATCATCTGATAACCAACATTTATGGCTGAAAAGAGCCTGAAATATACAGGTTAATTTAATGACCGTGATAAATGGGATTGGCAACTCCGGTCAGTGACATGGTTGTTAAATGAGACTTCACATGACTTGTGATTTCACCACTACCTTCTCCACTGACATCGTTTGTCAGAATGTGTAAAGGTATTTCAAATTTATGTTGGAAATGGGAATGTAAGGAGGGACACCTTATCTCGTTTGGTAGATGTGCAAAAAAGCTAGAAAATGTTGGGTTCAAATACAGTGATTCAGATTTCAAAGGTTAGCATTTAGCTGAAATCCAGAAGTTTTCCTCTTGGGACTGAGGGATAAGCAGTTGGAAAAAAGTCATGGAACATTGTTTTTATATATGATAACTGCAGCAAGATTATTGTGTTACAAAAAATTAAATAATTGGCAAGGCCTATGACAGAGGAATGGTAGATGAAAATGATATTTGTTCAAATGGCCAAACTGAATTGTTTGATTAGAGAAAAGACAATATCTACATTTATTGGTGAATGGAAACCCCTTATGGACTTTTTGTGTAAAAAAGAAAAAAACATATAATTTAGTTTTATGATTAGATATAAGAGCCATGATTTAACTTTAGAGATATAATTGTCCTTATATTGCTGTAAAGAAGATTAGAAGCCACTTTTATATCTTTTCGCTTTCTTTTCTATTTTTCTGTTAACTCTTTCTTTTTGCATTTTAAATTTTTCTTTAGTTTTGTTTTTTTCTCTTTCACTTTTAGTATTAGCTTATAATTGTTTAAATTTATATATATATGTACATATGTGCGTGTGATATATGTGTGTGTGTGTGTATGTGTGCATATGTATCAAAATGGCTATCATGTGACAATGGAGTGCTGCAACTATCATAAATGCACATTGGTTGCAAAACAGCAAAATTGTGATCATATGACTGTGGGGATGCTGCAACACTTGTAAGTCATTCTGTCATAAGTTTGAGGACCAGTCATAAAGTTACTTTTCAAACGTCATTTCTATGGCATAAAGTTACTTTTCTAGGATCATTGTAGCTTTAAACAGTTGTTAAACAGGATAGTTAACAGAGGACTGCCTGTACTTTAAGAACAAGTTGCACTTGGGTTTTGAGTACATAGGCAGGTAGGAGAATATATATTTTAGTTCATTCAAAAAATGGCTCTTTTTGTTTCACCAGTCCAACTTGAGCAAAGATTTTATAGCCCAGAAGCATTGAGAATAATTGCTATAATTTCAAAAAAATAAAATCTCCAGTCAAGGATATATAGCTTTGTGCAACCTCTTTCCTTCTCTCTAAATTGCTACTTTCTTGAGTCGTTCATTTGTAATCTGGTAAATGGAAGAGAAAACTCACTGAAAGCAAAATGTTTTTTTTCTAAAACTAACATTGTAAAGATGGGCTTGGGCACATCATCCATTCAGGTAGAGACTTTTGATTCGTAGCCCTGGTCTTGGGTTTCAAATTCAAGATCTTGCTGATAAGGAAACAACCATGTGTTCTTTAAGCCTTACACCTCTTGTCCCCGAGCGTTTGAATAAATATAAAAAAGGTGAATTTGAAAAATGTTGAGGTGAAATAAACTAATGTTTTCTTATAGCAGAGTGACTGAGTGTGATTCGTTCATGCACATTGCTGAGTACTCAGATCTTCTCTGCTATCAAACAACCAGTAAACTTTCAGCAGCCTTTGCCAGCATGTCTAATGGTGAGGGATGCTGGGAGCTGTAGTTAACAACAGCAGGAAAGTCACAGATTGCTTCTCCCTCCCTCCCCCCAATTAAAGGCCCAAGAACCTAAGGGGAGAATTTTGGGCAAAATATTTTTTTGGATATTTGGATTGATTTGCTTATTGCAATGAAGTCTGACAGAAGCTAAGTTTCTTCTTAAATAAATGCTGAGAAAATGAATCCACGTCATTTACTGCGGCCACAGGAAGGAGGGATTCACCTCCCTACCAGCTGTCCCCCTTAGTACCATCAAAGCTTCCTTTGTATGGAGCAGCCAGGGATGAGAAACTGCACAGGAAAGTCTTTTTTGCCAATTCTAATAAAGAAAGGCCCAATGTTATTTCCTAAACTCTCCTCTCACCGTCCAAAATGCTGGATTAGCACTGAGTAGTAGTATGTCCAAGGACTGGTCAAACAGCAGAACAAGCAGGACACTAATCTTTTTCTGAAATGCGCTACCAGCAAGCAGAGATTCACTTTCTGAGCCCCAAATATCATCAGCCCTCTCTTTTCCCACAGAGCCATAGGGGACTAGGGCAGAGCTCAGAGATACAATGAGCAGGGGGTGGCAGCGACTGTACAGCTGAATCCAGTCAAGGACCTGGAGCAGGGGATGGGCAGTATTTTACCCACTGAGGTAAATCAACACGTCTTTATTAGGCATAGTCTTTGGTGGGTCATGATGGAAGCCTATGGCCAGGCTGAGGTCAAGTCAGAGCCCCAAATGGGTGGAAGCTCCATTCTCTCTCTCCCCACCGAATACCTCTTTTTCTTCCTATCCAGCGAGCTATCAAACAAGGAGCAGCATCACGTCTGTCAGAGCTCTAAACTGCCTGGTTTGAAATTAGGCCGAGGGCTACCCTTTGCCTACCCTGGACTTAGAAAAAGGATGGGAAGATGGAACACGACCTTGGCCTGGGGAGAGACCTCTCCAGTTTATGTCTACTAGAATAGTACCCATCAATTCAGATCGTTCTGAATTCAACGTTCACACAGAGTAAAAGCCACCCCCCTCCGAAAAAAATCCCCAACCCACCATTCTTTGCATTATCAGTTACTCAACAATTACAGCCTTGTACAAGTCATTGATGTGTTAAATAAACACGTTGCCTTTGCTCCACCTCTATTACTGGAAAAAGGGGCACAGCTGCAACCCATATTATATATATATATGGCCAGACATGCAAAATGAGGGAGGTGGTATGACTATGACTCAGAAGAAGCTACAGAATCACAAATGCAGCTTGCGGAGAAGAATGCAGGGAGAGAAGCTTTTAAGGAAACTGAACTTTACTCCCAGGACTGCTATATGTTGAGAATGGATTATGGAGCTTTATTATGGCAGGAACACCTCCTCCTCCTCCTCCTCTTCCTCCTCCATGGGGAAACTCCTCAGGATCAGGGATGACAACCTTGGAAGGAGGGAGGCAGTTTCAAAACTGGCAACCTCAGAAACAAAGCTGCAATTGGCCATGCAACTTTTTTAAAAAAGTGCCAACTGCAGATAGGCTACTGCTGCCAGGGCTTCCTACGGGGCAGCAAAGGCAGGTCCACGAAGAGGCAGGCAGCGTAATCAGTAGGTGCATGATTCGAAAGAAATCAATCTGTTTGGGGAAAGGCCTGAGTAGAACAGTGATGAAGGGAGAAACTGCTCCGCTAAGGGGGAAAGAGTAGCGGGGTTAAACGCCTGCCCCCTCCGATACAGTTGAAAGAAATGGTCCGACCAGAGAGAGGGGAGGCAGAAAGTTCCAATATCTCTACCCCTCCCCACCACCCCCCACACACCAGCAGCGCAGCCAAGGGCCAAGCACGGAGGACGGCATCACAGGTGGAACTGAGCTCAGACAGCATCATCCAGGCCAGGTTCAGCATCAGAGGACGGGACATACTCTTTGCTAAGACGGACGATCTCCTGGGAAAGGACCTCCAAATCCTGGAAGGAAGAGGGAAATCAGATGAGAGGGACCCAGAAAAGGAGACCAGGGGAAGAACAGGCATGATATCAGTGGTGAAATTCAAAAAAAAAAAATTACTACTGGTTCTGTGGCCATGGCTTGGTGGGTATGGTATGGCTTGGTGGGCATGGCTTGGTGGGCGTAGCAGGGGAAGGATATTGCAAAATCTCCATTCCCACCCCACTCTGGGGCCAGTCAGAGGTGGTATTTGTCGGTTCTCCGAACTGCTCAAAATTTCCACTACTGGTTCTCAGGAACCTGTCAGAACCTACTGGATTTCACCCCTGCATGATATCCAAGCGGGAGACCAATACATGCCCTGCCAAGCAAAATACAGGCATCCCTTTCCAGCCATGCCCATTCTGCACAAATTCATTCTCCCAATTAAAAACTGCTCATTGATCGTCATTGGGCTTGGATTCAAAGGAAGTCTGGAAAGCAACAAAACCCAAACCAACACAGAGATAAAGAACCAATGGCAATCAATACGCTTTATTAAGAGAAGAAAAGGACGGCTTGGACTGCAAAAAAAAAGCAACTTCTCTTAAAAGACCCTGAAAACAAGACCTTTCTTCCCCTTTTAGCCCTGTGGCTCAGAAGCCTGGATTAGATGCATCTCAGGTCGAATTTTCTCTTGCAGAGCCTTGGACACCAGGAGAGCTAGACCTGCCTCCATGCCCTAGCTGGCATCTTCTACCATCCTCTCTACCTGCCCGCAGCTTCTTTCCCAAATGCACAGTGCCCCCTACAGACCATCACTGGATTGCCCACACTGCTACCTCTGCCATGTACCACCTTTTCCTTTCCCCCCTACTCAGTATTTCCCTGCATGGCTGGCTTATCTGAAGACTTCCTCCCAGACTAGCGTCTTGATCCTCACCGACAGTGCCAAGTTAGCATCCTTTTTCTGCCCCACACTGACTGCTCCACCAAAGCCCCAACCTTGAAACAGCCTGTCCTCTGAGGATGCTCACACACACCCCATCCCTCCCCATTCAGACACGGCTATAAATAGCCTCTTCTTTCCGCTGACATCATTCTTTCGTCCCCTTGTTCCATTAGGACATTGAAAAGATCAGATTCTACATCAAGCTCATGCTGAACGGGGAGGGGGGAACACCCCAATATGCTGCAAAGTCTTTCACTGGGGCGGGCTCTCTTTCTCTTACCTCAGCATGTGCTTTCGTGATAAAAGCAGGCAAGCAGAAGACTCACCTTGCTAGATCAGATAGAAGTCTATCTAAACCAGCAATCGGTTTCTAGCTACTGGAAGCAAGGAAGCTCTCTAAAACACAAAGAAAGAGCAATTGATTTTTCCCTGCCATCTGATCCTAGAAACTGATATTCAGAACAATATGGAGTATCCTTTGAGATGCCATGGCTAAGAGGAATGTTCTAAAAGAACTACCTTGCATAAATCTATCTAGTCCTTTGAAACGTCTTTCTCTGTGAGTTTTATAAACTACATAAATGCTGTATGTGGGTTCTGTATTAAGGGGTTTTCCTTAGCACTTTTTTTGACGAGGGGGAACTCAAAGCACCTGCAAAGGGGATCTGAGTGCTCTTCTACGCAGACTCTTGCCTACCTATCTGAAAATCCAGCATTACACCACTTATTTCACTGAAAAAGAAACCAGACGGCTGAGCACTCTTTATAATCTGGCCTAGCCCAGCGGTGGGTGTTAAGTAACAAACAGCCAAGAAGTAGCATTCCTGCTACACCACCACCACCATGGCCAGAATGCAGATATCTCTCCTGCACCCCCAGACATACTTCCAAGCTCCAAAAATTTTTCCCTTAATCTACTCTTCCCAAAGGCAACTGCACCACCCAAAATTTCCTGTCTGAATGTGGGTGGTCACCCATCTGTGACATAGAGAGAAGGAAGGCTGGAGAAAAATGCAGATTGTGGGTACGAAGATAAGAGTTCTTCATTCAAGGTCACCAGAATGTTCAGGCAGAAGGAAATTTGCTACTCCCTTAGCTTCCCTTTGGTGCCAAAGCTGGGCTCTTTGCTGCCTCTCTTCCTCATCAGTCACCTTGATCTGCAGCCTGAGAAACAAGATGAATGGCCAGGCAGCTACAGCAGCTGTGCGTATACACTTACTCAGGATGAAGAACACACAAACTCAGAAGCCAACTAGCAGAGTCTCTCTCTGTTCTTATTCACTTTCTACAGCAGCAGAGGTGGGTTTCAGCAGGTTCTGACCAGTTCTGGAGAACCGGTAGCGGAAATTTTGAGTAGTTCGGAGAACCGGTAGTAAAAATTCTGACTGGACCTCCCCCCATCTATTCTCTGTCACCCAAGTCTCAGCTGATTGGGAGGAAATGGGGATTTTGCAGTAACCTTCCCCTGAAGTGGGGTGGGAATGGAGATTTTACAGTATCCTTCCCCTGCCACGCCCACCAAGCCACGCCCACAGAACCGGTAGTAAAAAATTTTGAAACCCACCACTGCACAGCAGCCTGTTCCTCCCATAAGAGCTCTCCCCAATGCCTCATTTTTCAAGTTACAGGCTACTGAGGATTTGTCCAACAAGCCCTACAGTATACCTCATAACAAGTATCTTCTCCCTCTCTGGCTGCTGGTTATAACCCCTTTCCCAACCATAGATTTCTTGATAGTGTTGGATCAGAACTCCTATTGTTGCAGGAATCATGGGAGCTATCATCCGACATCATGTGGGAATTTATGTTTGGCAAAGGCTGCCGTAGCTGCCTTCAGCATTTCTAGATTGGTGTTTGTAGCTGTGCCTTGAATATAGCCTGCTGGGTCCCCTTTGGCTAATTTTTGTTCTCCCCAGCCTCTTCTGTATTTTGTTTATGGGGAGTTGCTCTTGATCATTTGGGTTGCCAACTTTATTTTTTTTGGTTTGGCAATTCTGTTTTTCTGAACGTGCAGAGCATTGCTTTTAATCAGAAGGAACAGAAAACAGTTGCGGTATATTAGCAATAGTGAAAGCCAGTATGATGTAGTGGTTAAGGCAGAAACCTGAAAACCTTTGAGTTCTAGTTCTGCCTTAGGCACAAAGCCACCTGGATGACTTAGGGCCAGTCTCTCTCTCTCTCTCTCTCTCTCTCTCTCTCTCTCTCTTTCTTAGCCCTAGGAAAAAAGCAAAGGCAAACTATTTCTGAAAATGTTACCAAGAAAACTGCACAGGGTAGTTCGAGACTAATTCAAGGGCAGACACGCACAAAATTATAATAATAATACAATCATCGTGGCTCTAAGGGAAGGTGCCATTGATTATGTCTAGAGCAACTTCAGAATATTTTTCAATTAGGGATGTTGGCACCAGGCGTCTAGTTTAGGATTGCAATAATCTAGCTGAAAGGCAAAATGACAGTTACTTATAAAACTGAGCAGGCAAGGATTGGGCCTTCCTCTAGGTAAGCTGACACTGCAGTAGACTTCTGTTTACAGCATGACCTTTGCTATCAAGGGCACTGTCTCCTTGTGATGGTAACCATGTGGATCCCAACCAAAGGCAACCCCTCTCTGCATGTTTCCTTAAGACACAGGAGTGTCTTAGCTCGCGCTTTTTATTCCAAAGTAATTGTTCCAAATAACCCCCCACCGCCACCTTCCGCATTTTGGTTACTTAGCAATGCCATTTAGCTTTCCTCCTGGGGCAACCTTTTCTTCCTCACCAGGGTGACTTCCAGACGTCTTCAAATTAGAATTCCCAGAACTCCATGCCAGCCTGTTCAAAGGCAGGAATTACGCCACCCAATATTCTTTAACCCTTTGCTTTACAACTCCTACCGGCTTTAGCCAGCATGGGCAATAGCAAGTGTTTGCATAGGTTGAATTTCCCAAATCCCCAAACAGCAAATTCTGGGGAAGACCGTGCACTGCCCAAGGTCCCAGCGTGATATATAAATACCTGAAAGCTGTGAATGAGATCCCCGGGGACCTCTACAAGTTTATCCCAAGTGATAATTTTTAATGAATAAGAAAATGGTTAAATATGTGAATTATTTTTAATTCTACCTACATTTGAGTATGGTTAAAAGGAAATAAAACCCAAGGTTAATTTCTATCCTAAAGGTAAAGGTAAAGGTTCCCCTTGCACATATGTGGTAGTCGTTCCCAACTCTAGGGGGCGGTGCTCATCTGTTTCAAAGCCGAAGAGCCAGCGCTGTCCGAAGATGTCTCTGTGGTCAGGTGGTTGGCATGACTCAACGCTAAAGGCGCACGGAACACTGTTACCTTCCCACCAAAGGTGGTCCCTATTTTTCTACTTGCATTTTTTACGTGCTTTTGAACTCCTAGGTTGGCAGAAGCTGGGAGAAGTAACGGGAGCTCACCCCGTTACGCGGCACTAGGGATTCGAACCACTGAACTGCCAATCTTTTGATCAACAAACTCAGCATCTTAGTCACTGAGTTACCATGTCCCATCTAGTTTCTGTTCTAGCCTCATCCATAATATTTTGGAGTGTGGTCCCCAGCATGCCCTTGAATGGCCAAAGGAATTTGTCCATCTTTGCCTTGCCATAGAAAAGCTGCCTGTGTTTAATGTAGAACACTATCGTATGGGGGAAAATACACTCTTTGCTCTAGCTTTCCTACCCCAAATCCCGGGGTTTTCCAAGTGAATAAGTCAGAGCAATAAGTTCCTAGGAAGCTCTTCTCTAATATCTCCCCTTTGGGTAGAGAACATGATACAGAGATACAAGAGAAGGCGTTCTTGGGTGTGGAAACCCACTTAGAAAATGCCTTCCTTGCAGAGTGCAGCCCAACATTTGATTTCATCCAAAATGTTGGGCTGTTGTGGGTATAGCACGGCCTTGATTCACCATTTGCTTCTATTGGATTGTGGAGACCGCTCTTAGTGATGTTGCTTGTTTTACTGACTGAAGTTTTTTTTTTCTTGTTTGTATCACAATTGACATTCATTAGAACCAGTTATGCATCTTTCAGATAAATAAAATGAAATGTCCTGCATAAATGGCCATTTCCATTTCAGTACTCTGAAAGTTGCTTTATGCCTTTTGCTTGGTCCTCGTAGGCAGAATTCCTCCCTTCTTCCCCTTGCAGTTCAGTGGCTGATTCTGTCCAGTTCCCATTTCACCCCCCAAAAGCCTTTTCTCCAGGGTCCACCTACAAACCTTCTGTAAGTGCATGTTTTTGGTGAGCTGCTCCTCCAGCATGTTCTGTAGCTTCTTGTTCATCTCACGCAGGTTCTCATCTCCTGGCTTCACCAGATCTCGCAGGACACTACTTAGGCTACTTCGATCAACCTGCCCATGAGCCCCAGACACATCTGCCAAAGGGAAAAAGGGCAGGGAGAAAAAAAAAGGCAGTGACAAAGAAGTTACAAATGAATGTGTAAATGAAATTATGGCTGTAGTGGAAACAGAGCATATAGGTTACACCATATGAAGAGGAAAAACAGAGGTCATGTATTGGATTATCCTTACTATGGATAACTACATTCAATGGTGGGTTGCCCCCGGTTCGCACCGGTTCTATAGAACCGGTAAGAAAACTGGCGGGAGGCCCTACCCATCGACCCCGTCATCAAAAGCGAGCGCATGCGCAGCCCCATTGCAAACCAGTAGTAAAGGTAAGTAGAACCCACCCCTGACTACATTACTTTCCCCTATAACAGGGGAGTAGCGCTGGCTGAGGAATTCTGGGAGTTGAAGTCCACAAGTCTTAAAGTTGCCAAGGTTGGAGACCCCTGCCCTATAACAGCAGTCTTTCTCCTGAGAAGTGATTTTTAGAATGACGGAGATCATGACTAACAAGTTTGTCATCCCTGGGAGAAACCAGCCTAAAAATGCTATGGGAACAAGTTACCCCACTTACACCTTCAAAATTCTGCACTGGATCCCCTTTTCATAAAATATTAAATTTGTGTCCACCCACTGGATAGGGCAGCGTTTCCCAATTTGGTGATTTTTAGAAGTGTTGGATAATGGAAAACCTGCGAATCAATGTCCATCATATCCAGAGGGTACCAAATTGGGGAAGACTCCCCAGTTATCCACCAGAACTCTTTCCTTGGTGACCTTTCCGAAGTGCATAACCAGAGGTTTATTTTAAATGACCTTTGAAGAGAGGAAGATAGATGACCAACAAATGGTTGGTTCTTTTTCCCCAAGCTTCCGAACGAAATGGATTGGTTTTTATAATTGTTTTATTCCTCTGAACTTGCAATGGTATACGGGAATGACCTTGCAAGGCAGGAGGAAGATCAACTGCCTAGACAATGGTCTGATAAATGAAATCTGAATCTGAAGGAGGAGTGGTAGCAAAAGTGGCTCATAAGGGACCTTCCTAGTTTTCAGGAGAGTCAAAGTGAGGAAACGGGGGGAGGACTTTTAGACTTGCAAGATTCTGTTAATGTAACCTTGCAGTAAAGATAGAGTTAGTACTCCTAGTTGTGTTTCTTGTCTGGACTACCTCGCAAGACTGACGGGACTCTATATGGATGCGTTTAGTTTATTGTTATTGAGAATGAGTTTCCACATTCCAAAAGGGGAGGATCAGAATTATGAGAAGCAAATAAAATCTGCTTGAGTAGTATCATTTAATTCCACAGCCAATTAGAATTGAGTGGAATATGATGATGTTAGGGAACCAATTCAGAGTGAGGTCACGAAAAATTACTCTTAATTTAAGCGAGAATTGAGTGAGGGAAAGAAGCTGCACTCTAAAGTTTCTCATTTTTATTCTCAGTCCTGTTTACTTTTAGAAACGCAGCCAAAATGGAGAATTTGCAAGCAGGCGGCTAGCAGTACTGTGGAATCCACCCCACTCCCCCACTTCCAATATTAAATGCTGTAATAGTAAATAAAACAGCAGCAACTGTGATATCCACCTTTCAATTCTCCCTTTTAGAACTCTCACTTATCCTCCAGTCGCCACCTCCCTGGGCCTCCAACCATTACTCACAGCTTTCCTTCCTGGAGTTTGAGCTGGATCTAATCTCATCAGGGATCTGACATGAATGTGGGGTCTTTCCATGTAGGAAAGCTGAAAGTTGTTCAACCATGAAATTAGCAAAGCAGCAGGAAAGAAATAACAGCATTAGACCAACCTCCATCCCGCCCTAAGAAACTAGCATGAAAAAAAGGGCACAGGAATTAAACTGGGTGCAGGGTGGAGGGAGCCAACACATTTGCTTGCGGATTCATTGCTTTCGGGAGCGAAGAGATAGATAACTCCAACAAAAGGGAAGTCTGCATGGCTCCATGACAGCCTAGCCTATGGTATGGATCATGGGGTTGCAGAGATAAGGATGAGGAAACAATGACAAATGTCCCTGGAGTACAGCAAGATATAAGGCTCTTGAGCACTTTGCTATACTCTTCTCAAAACAAGAGTTAAAGTCGAAGCATTTTGACCATACCCAGGCCCCATGTATTGGGGAACAGCTCTGGTTTCAAGGAACATCGAAGTAAAATTAAGCCTCTTAAGGTTGCCATTTGGTCAAGCAGCCAGTGCAGAGATATGTTGATAATCACTGAAGAAACCACAACCTCAAATTTGCCTGCCATTCTCCGCCAATGTCCTGCCAGATGCCTGGCTAACTCGGTTGCTTAGTGTTGTGATCAAGGCCCAAGTAGTGATTACCAAAGACAATTCAGTCCTCAACAAACTTAGTTTATTAAAACAGCTGAGAATTCATTCATTCTCAGCTTAGTCCAAAACAAAATTCTGAATAACCAGTCCGTCAGCCTTATCACCAACCTTTGATGTTTTTGGCAACATGCCAAAGGCTTTTCTTGGCAAAACCCCCACAAAGTTCAAGAGACGCTGACAAGAAGCACGGGAATCAACTTTGCTTTTCTACAAAGAACCCAACGGCTCGTTGCTGCTCTTTTAAGCCTTATGGGAATGGCCAATCATCTTCTGGTCTTTTTTCTTCAGCTACTCTTGCCTTCTGGCAGCTCTTCTCATGTGTGCACTAGGAACAGGCTCCTCCTGTTCCTCTGCCTCTCTGCTGTCCGTCTCTGGAGGCTCCAGAGTCCACGCATCGCTCCCAGATGGCCCTGGCCCCATCTCTGCCTCTGACGCAGAGCCCTCGTCTGGGCCTTCCCCTGACTCCAGGACTGGTCCATTGGCCTCCCCAGCCTCCTCACTGTCTGACTCCACTGCCAGGTCCGCAGGCTACTGGCGGACCACAACACCTAGCTTCATTCTTGACCTTGTTAGTCCTGATCAGAGCTGATTTGATAAATCCAAAGTGGGTAGTTCTTTCTAAACCCCAACTATCCAGCCTTTCCAAATGGTGAGACCTTACTTGGAAGGACATTTTCACATCAGCTTCCCGGAAATGGAGAAAGTGATAGAGACTGAGCATTGGTGTTCTCGTTTCCTTTCTTCCAAGACCACTGGGGAAAGGCCTGCATGTTGTGCCCTCCCTTTCAAGGCTACTGAATACAATTTGCTGCCTTGATTTCCAAGACTGATGCTGGACTAAAGCAACCCTGACATCTAGATCAATTCTGCCTGTTCTCCCTTTCAGCCTTCATCAATCCAGCTGTCTCTCAATACCAAAATCTTTCCTGTCCCTTGGCTATGCTAGTAAGTGTTGCCATACATACACACAAAGCCTCAAAGAAGAGATGGTGGCCATGGATCCTAGGCTTGAACCTAGCTCCCGTATCAAACTCAATTCTCCTGCTCAGCTTAGTGCCCATTGCATTTTCTGCTCTTCCATTTGTTCACTGGGTTACAATCATCAATGCAAGTTACAATCCACATGTTGCCATTTAACAGAAGCAAGCACACACTGTTTAAAAATTAGCATTTGATTCTGCAAAAGCTGAACTCTGAAATCCACAGAAACTATACACTCCTTTTTGGGTTTCTTATTCTGCATATACCCAAGAATCCCTATTTTAACAACAACAACAATTACATTTTCTCTCCCCTTGTCCTTGCAGCTCATCAAATTTAGTGGCCATAGTAGTTAGTGGCCGTAGTAGCATTCATTTTCAGAGAAGGAAAATCACATTTCTTAAAAGGCCAAATTTGGCACCCAATAGTCCCTTTTGTGGGCCATGCTCATGAGCATTCAATGAAAGGGTAAGAAAATATCCATAATTTGCCATTCTCATCTGGAATATGCTGTGATACTTAAAAGTTCTGCCAGCGTGTTAGGAAGCCTACTAGCAGGACTTCCTAAAATGTTCTTTAGAATCATTTTTGTTTAAACTCCCTCTTCTATCAAATTTTCACTCACTTTATTGTGATCTTAACGGAAAACAGCACAGTTTGAACCGCTATAGTCCAAGAGGACAGGGTAAGATCTAATGGACTTACGCAATAAGGAGATAGATTGCTGCGTTTAGACTATTGTGCCCTTACACAGTCACAAGTTTTCCTTTCCTCTTGCTGGCTTTTGGTTTCAATGTACAAAATCTATCCATTATTTCCTCACATTGGCACAGAACATTTGGGCAAAGATCTGAAAGTGTTACAGAAGTAGGAGTAGTTGCATTTTAAGAAAAGACAAAAAAACAAAACATGCTGAAGTCTCTGGGGCACTGGGAATCAAATAATTAGAATATGGGGCTAGATTCAATTACAAAGATTTGGAGGGCAAATCAGGCTGCGAATGACCGCCCGATCAGGCAAAAAGGAAAGATGCTCAAGATGCAGGAGGAGGAGGAGGAGGAGGTGGTGGTGGTGGTGGTGGTTTGTATTTTTAGCATTCATGAAATATTCACCGGCTGAGTTGTGTGTTGCCAAGCTGAGGCAAAGGCGACCCTGCACAAGCTATTTATAGCTGACTTCTGTTTCATGCCCATAGCACAATTCAATGTGGATGTACAAAAAACGTGCCCAAAGGATGCCCTCTCCCACACCATCACTTGACTATGTAGTTGCATGGCTCTTCACCTGAGCATGCAGACTTTTTCTAAGGCACCCCTTCTTCCTTATTATCCCCCCCCCCCCCCCCCCGCAACGCGTCTGTTCCTTTGCAGTTCTGATCCACCAGCGGAACAGCAGGAAGATCCTACATGGCGAAGGTGCTCTAAGGGCAGTGGAGCCCGTAGAGGGGCTGGCACAGGCAAGAGACAATTAGTCCATTGTGGGACTGGACTGGGGAAAACTGCGGGGCACACCCAGCAGGGGGAGCACCAGGAAAGCAAGCTGTCAGGACAGCATGTTAGGTGTGTGACTCAGTTTCCCAAATGATTTCCTGAATGATTTGCTGAATCCAACTTTTTTTAAAAGTTGGCTGCTGACTTCACATCCATTTCCATGCATCATTCTTGGGCAGGAAACAGTTTCCTTTGGAGCACAACTCTAACCACAAACCAAGGGAACTCTAAAAACTATCCTAGTGAGAACTCCTCCCACTCCCCCCGCCACACACACACACATTTCCTTCCCTGGCTGTTTTATTCTTGATAGGAAGAAAAATATGTCTAAAATGGCATCTTCTTAAACAGCTTAGATTCTCCTCCTCTACCAACTTGATGCTGGAAGCATTACGGCCGCTAATCCTGATTTCCTCAGTTTCTGAACCTGTAAAACTCTTATTTTGTTAATAAGATAAATAGATCTCAATGGAGCAATCTATTTTGGACAGTCCATTGATTCAGGTCAAGTATTTTGCAATTGTACTACCCAAGTGTGTGGAATATGGCATTAACTGAAACTGAAATTTAATGAATTGAGAGAATTAGCTTTGACTTGAAAAAAGAGTGAAAAGCAGCTTCTAATCCTGCCAGCACGTTTGTATGATTTTGAGTGACAGCACAGAATTGACAGGTTAAGAAAAGGAAGGAGGACTATTCAGCGGGATGGATTTACTTTGGTTAGGAAACGGGGCTTGTCAGTCTCTCACAATAGCAGAGAACTGTTGAAAGCCAAGTATCTATTAAAGATCAAAGTGGCCACCGTTTCCTGATGATCATTCAAGATCATCGATCACCCTTAAATCTGTTTAAACTGCTCCAGAAAGGAAAACTTGGGTGGGGAGTGGATGGAAAAGAAGCAAATCAAGTCTGGGAAACATCTCCAATTTTGTAAAAGAGAGGTAGACTTCTCTATGGGGCTGCTTCTCAATCAGTCAAGGTATTCGCATACGAATGTGAGATTACGTCTATATCAGGTTTTTTATATGAACGCAGAACCTACATTAGCCATGCTATACTCATTCCAAAACTTGTGCTTTTGTCAGAATCATAAATGAAAGTAGCATCAACCCAAATGCTTCAGAAACCAAAATCCCGTATCCTGAAAAACACACCACAAAAACTAATAGAAGTCTCTACATCAATATTTCCATAAGTCTCTACATCAATAAATTTATAATTGGTTTTAATTTGGTTATTTTAAATTGACGGCCAAAAGTATTTAATGTTTTTTAAATTGTTTTTAAATTTTATATGTTGTGTTTTTACCGTGGCTGTTCACCGCCCTGAGTCCTGTTGGAGAAGGGCGGTATACAAATTAATTAATTAAATAAATAAATGAATAAATAAATAAATAAATGAATGAATGAATGAATGAATAACTAATGCTAAACAACTATCAGAAAGAGCTTATTTAACCCAGCACACTGATTCAAGAGAATTGCCTCCCTAAATATTCTCTACACAGTATGTGGGTAACAGGTTCCTTCTTGCACTGTAATATCAACCACACACCAATCTAAGCTACATATTTGAATGCCAAATAAGAATATTTTTCAAAGAGGTCAGTGTTATGAGAGGGCAGCAGAAATTAAGCAGATTTATCCAGCCCTATTCATATAAGGATATCCAGGCAATCTGGCCCAGTGATCAAACTTGCAGAGTTTCAAACTTGATCAAACTTGCAGAGTTTCATCACTCACTTTCCAATGATTGTGGAACAAAGAGTTGTCGTATGAAAGATGTCATTTCCTAGGGAAGTTCTAAACCCATGATGGTGAACCAGTGGCACGCGTGCCATAGCTGGCACACGGAGCCATATTGGTGGGCACACAAGCGTTGCCCTAGCTCATCTCTGGTGTGCCGGCCAGCTGATTTTTGGGCCTTCTGGGCCCACTGGAATTTGGGAAACAAGCTGTTTCCGGCCTCCAGAGGGTCTCTGGGAGGTGGGGAAGGTTGTTTTTGTCCTTCCCAGGCTCCTAAAAAGGCTCTGGAGCCTGGGGAGGGTGAAAAACGGGCCTACCAGGGCATCGTGTGCCAAAAGCAAAGGGAGCGTGGGGGGGTTGCGTATGCATGCGCAGGGAGCAGGGCGCATTGAATTATGGGTGTGGGCACGCATGTGCGTGACCTCCCCACTCCCGCCACTTTTGGCACGCAATGGCAAAAAGGTTAGCCATCACTGTTCTAAGCCCTTCACAAATCCTGCAGAACCGACTACTCTTTCAAGTTTGCCATTGTGCTATAAAGGTTAGAGATTTAAAAATAAATAAAACCTGTGGATTCTAACCCTCTGAATCACAGCATACAGATGAGCAGGATAGGTCCCCTTTCCCCCAAGCAGCTTCTTTCCTCCATCATCAAACGCTTTGAAAACTTAAGAGCATCCTAAAGAAGGTCAAAGGAACTAATGGGTTAAAGACCTAGCTAAATATATGTCTTAGAACCACCAAGTGCTATTTGGATATCAAGCTACAGCCAGGCCATGCAAACAAACAAACAAACAAACAAACAAACAAACAAACAAACAAACAAACAAACAAGGGAAGTGTTAAAACACCTGAGTGTGCTTTTCCCTTTATACTGTAGGATGGGTCTTTGATGATGAACTAACATGTTTTGATAGCAGACGCTGCAGATCTTGTCACTGCTGCAAAAGAAGGTCCCTAACCACTTGGCATCATCAAGTACACATTAAGACACACACAAAAAAATCCCTTTTGTGGGCCAAGTCTGGCATGGAAGCAGCATCAGATGAATTAAACAACCTGAATCATTTATTGTCTTGTCAAGTCTACAGGCTTCTTTCCACCTCTCCTGGGTTACTCAGAAATAAAAATTGTTGGGACTTTTCTGGTACTAGTACTCAAGCACTGATTCTAGAAATCTCTTTCAATAAATGTGGATGCTGGCAGAAGAAGACAGTATACAAGGTGAAGAGAGCACAGTTAAGGTTGCTCTCCAAGGTCCTCCCCCCCTCAAGATTTATCCAACATTATACACTCCATTCCAGATTTTTTTTTCTCCGCAGTCGTAATTTTTTTGAATTTAAACCTGCCAGATTCTTGCTTAATCAACTGGAGAGAAAGTGGAGGGATGAGGTATTCTTGATGATCCTGCATTTTTATTTTGAATTTCAGTGTTTTTATGTATTTATATCCCTAATACTACATAAGTTCTGTGCCCAAGAGATAGAGTAGAACTATTCTTGCTTCATTTAATCGCTTGGGAGTGGACTCTTTCTTCCTTACAGTTTAATTCTCCTAACATTCACTTTCTAATTACTTGGGAATCTTAACCTTTTTTAGAAAATACACCACAGACAGTTGTGAGATGCAAAGCTCCCATTTCACATTTCCCCTCAGCCATGATCAAGCCACAATGACCTAAGGATTCACAATGTCCTAGGGACTTCATAGGATGCAATCCAAAAATGGAACAAGAAGACCTTCATAGAAGCTCAGCCAGACTGATATTACACAGGCAACATCACCTCTGCTTTCAGCCTCCACTCCCCCATTTTTCCTGCAACCTCAAATTTCTGGTTGCTTCTTCGTGAAGTTCTCACCAATACGGCTGTCCATCACATAGGTCTCAATAATGGCACTCTTCCGGCATAGGTCCTCAGCCATGGAGGCACTACTGACTTCAAGGTGTTTCACCTAGCAGAGAAAGAGTGCATTACTTGTTACTGCCAAGCCTGTTTCCCACAAGGCCAATGCTATTCTTAGACCTGGGAATCATCTAGCTTCAAGCAATGTCTCTTAAATGTGGCAGACCAACCTCTTTCTCCAATCTGCTCTCTTTATCCCAGACCACCCAGAGTTTGTCCGTGTCTCTGACTGATTCTCCCAAAGTTCAGAATTGTTACCTTTCAGAATCAGCTCCCCAGACACAACCCTAAAAATCAAGGTCAGGCAACACTATCAGGATTAGAAGCAAAGTTGGTGGAGTGCTACGTGGGTCCTTGGGAAGGCATGCCAAGGCCACTGTGCTCCTGCTTCCAAACTAGGGGGTCTGTATGGTGGGAAGTCCAGGAAATACTGAATGGCCCAGGGTCTCACAAAATCCAAACCTAAAACCCAGGTGATTTTATACCTTTTCCTCCAAGAGCCACTTCTCCTGCTGAACTTCGGCCAGCCGCTGGAACAGTTCTGAGATCTCCTCATCTGAAAGGTCGGCTGGCCGTGGAGGTTGCGACTGTGACTGTGGGCTTCCTGTGGTTGACTGCAAGTAGAAAAGGTAAAAGGCAGATGTATCACTTCTCACATTCAGGCCTTTTACTACTGGCACAATTCAGTACATTTGCAGAACAACCCAATTTCCACCAAGCAGGCAAATCATTTATCTCGTGTTTCCTCTATACATAGACATCGGTGCTGTATATAAAAATAATTTTATAGTAATACATACGAAACTGTACATCTGGCTCTTACTACCAACTATCCTTTTCCATCTAATTCTAAAGCATTTGAAAACAGATTCTCAAATGGTGGAGTAACTGGGAATTATGGAAGTTGTAATTTACCATGTCTAGAAACTGCCAATTGAAAAAGGTTGTGATCTAAAGCTAAAGAGATAAGAACATACAGTATATTTTCCTAGTGGAGACGTTATGCAAACTGGGAAAACATCATTAAGCTATTTGTCTAATTTTTCCAGACGAGAACAGAAAATAAATTCACTAGTGCGCTTATGGGGGGACTCAAAAGTTATACTGGCTCCAGTCAGTGAAATAAATTGGATGTAGGTGAGGTAGTGGAACTGCTGAACTGATGCCTATGTTATGGTAATGGACTGGGTCATTACCAATAATCCAAAATTCAATCCAGAACACAAGAGATGCTTTGCCTGTCCGGTGAATAAAGTCCTACCTATTCTGAAGGGAGTTGCCCTCATCTTAAAGTTTCAGGGTCATAGCTTTCGAGAGCTTATGGACTGAAGCATCTTTCTCTTGCTATGGTTCAATCTGATAAAGACACTCTCATCACAGTAATCCATGCCCTGGTAACTTCTCATTTAATTAGTGCAATGCATTATACATTGGGTTGCCCTTAAAAGACATTTGAGACATTTCAATTAGAAGGAAATGCTGGTTAGAAGATTACTGAGTGAAACTGGGCAATATGAACATACCATGCTTGTACTTTATGGAGTGGCTTCCAATTAGTTTCTGCTCCAAAGTCAGGGTGCTGCTTAATCTATAAAGGGCTTCACCCTTGGATCTCCAGTATCTGAAGGAACTCTTCATCGCACCTATTTCTATTTGTATCCTAACGTTCTTTCTTGGAGAGGCGGTTCTGGCTGCCCTTCCACCCTGTGAAGACTATTTGGCCTTTTCAGTGGTAGCTCCTCAATTCTGGAATGCCCTCCCCAGCAGCGGTGGGTTGGTACCAGTTCGGTCCGGTTTTTGCAAACCAGTAATAATGGCGGTGGGAGGCTCCGCCCACCCACCCAGACGTCATCATGGATGATCTGCACCTGTGCAGAAGCTTCTGCACATGCGCAGAAGCGCGCTTGCACTCCCATTGCGAACCGGTAGCGAAGGTAAGTGGAACCCACCCCTGCTCCCCAGCTAGGTACGGGTGAGGCCGTGGGTGGGGCCATCTTCATAATCGTATCTGTGCTGCCAAACCAAAATATTTTTATGCTCCCAAGCAGGGGTGAAATGCTCCTGGTTCAGACCGGATCGCCTGATCCGGTAGCGATGGAGGCAGGTGGTTCGGAGAACTGGTAGCAAAAATCTCTGTCCCCCCCCCAAATTGCCCGGCTGAGCCGCGCAATCATCAGAGGCTTTTTTTTATTTTTAAAAGCATTTTTTCTACAACCTCTTTGGCCGAAAAAATGCTTTTAAAAGTAAAAAAAAAAAAAAGCCTCTGATGATCCCACGACTCAGCTGGGATCGTCAGAGGCTTTAAAAGCATTTTTTTTACCACCTCTTCAGCCGAAGAGGTTGTAGAAAAAATGCTTTTAAAAGTAAAAAAAAAAAAGGTTGGCCGCGCCCACTCAATCATATTATCCCCCCAAGCCACGCCCACAGAACCGGTAATAACCAATTTTACATTTCACCACTGCTCCCAAGCCATTTAATAATGTGTAATTCCTGTTTGAAGTTTTTAACATTTTCACAGATTTTATTTCGTTATTATTTTAGTTCTCCTTTTGTTGATTTTACTTTGTAATGTCATGGGTTTTATAAAATGTTTAAATATATGCTATTAATATTTAACCTATTGCTCTTAACTGTTAATATAACTTTAATTATAAAGTGTCAACATTTCCCAGTTTCCAAATCTATTTGCAATCTTAGTGTTCCTCCACTATGTTTAAAAATGATTAATTCCATATATTTGCTATACATGTTTAGGCCCTGATTCACGATAAAGGCAGTTTAACAAAGTGAGTCAAGCATGGAATGGGAACTAGGACTCCTTCGATCAGCCTCCATCCTGTTTTTTTATTCAGGCTTCATTAACTTCCTTGCACTGACATAATGTTTCAGTAAAGTTTCGTTTTGATTTACTGTTAGTGATGTTTGATACCAGGTTTTGGCAGACAATACAAATTATGAATATCAGTAATTAAACAACATGTGTGAATTACCCTAAACATCTGTGAAAGAATTAAATTTAGATTACACAAGAACAGATTTGAAAACAGGTGAATTTGTTATTCTGATAGGGATCACAGACTCCTGAAGCAAGCATATACTCAAAACCATCCTATTACTTAAATATTTAGCCTGAGTTTGTCCACTCGTGCCAGTATTTCCCATCTGGCTTCAGCTGACTGACCTTGGAGTCTTAGAAAAAGAAAAGAAAAAAGAAAGAAAAATCCCCCCAAAACTTGAAGACTTGCAACCCTGGTACTGCAGCGTCAAATGAAACTTGCTTGGGTGAATTACAACCTCATGCTTCATCGATGCAAGAAACGATGTGGAGCAGGAGTGAGGGAAAAAAATATCACTTGCCCTTCATGGAGAAAAGGAAAGAACTAGACAGAAAGGGCCATTTCAGGAAATGCTGTTATTTTGTGTTGGGAAAGAGAAAATTCTCTTTATTTATGGGAATGAGATACATCCCCGATGGTGTAAAGCTACACCATTCAAAAACGTTGGTTTCTGTGGCTTAGAAAGCTGAATTTCCGATTTCTACCTCTGGTTCCCTCACCTTGTTACTGCCAGCCACGGATCCCTCCTTCATGATTTCACGATAGCTGAAGGATGAGATGCTGCTACTGTCTCCCGTCTGAGTCCGACTGGGGGAACTGATGTCTGCCAGTACAAGATCCTCAATTCCTGGAAGGCAAAGAGAATGCCATGAAGGGAGATGTTTCTAGAGTCCCAGTCGCCCAGGTCTGCAATGACTTATTGGACCATTTGACCAGGAGAGAAAACATATCTAGATTATTAACTCCATTCTAGATACTCTATGGCAAAATTTAGTTTCGCTTTTCAAAAAGGCATAAACCAGCTTCGACTCTTTTTTTATAATAATTTTTATTAAAGTTTAAAAATACAAACATAACTAATGCAATTAAAAAATATAAAAAGGAAAGAGAAAAAAGAAAAAGAAAATGTTAAAAAATATAAAGAAATGATTTCCCCATCAAGACAAATAAAAACAATTTCAGTAACTTTCTCTAACATTTCAACAAAAGATCTCTCCTCCCATATCTTATATTTTACCTATAGACAAATTATAAAGTCTTGTCATTCAGTCCGAATCAGCAAAAGTCTATTCAGAATTACTAGAAATAACCACATATGTTTTAACCTTAATCAAATAAATCAGTTTCATATTTCCTTTCCTTTTAACATAACATATTTTCTCTAAAAATGCAATTTAAAAACTTCTTCCCACATCTCTTATTTATAAACGATCATTCAGACCTAGTATAAAAATCTATTAAGAAACAGAAGCAACAATATATTAAGATCTTAATCTTTAATCTCTTCAAATTGTGTGCTGCCAGTTTATTTATCATTGTCTCTCTTTCTCCTCTCAGAAAGTCCTTCACAAATTCAGCATGGACTAGAAATAACATCTATATTTTAACCCTAATCAAATAAACCAACTTTGTAACCCTTTATTTTATTTTTAATACCATAGCTTATCATTTTTATACTAATACAATAAAAAAATATCTTCTTCCCATCTTATCTATAAGACAAATGTTTAAAGTCTCATCAGTCTCATCAGTCTTCAAGAGCCTTGATAGTACAGTGGTCTAAGGCACCCTGTTATTAAGCTGGTTATTAAGACAGCTGCCTGCAATTACTGCTGGTTCGAATCTCTCCAAGGCTCAAGGTTGACTCAGCCTTCCATCCTTTCTAAGGTAGGTGAAATGAGGACCCAGTTTGTGGGGGCAATAAGCTGACTTTGTATAAATATACAAAAGTATGAAGGCTATTGCTTAATGCATTGTAAGCCGCCCTGAGTCTCCGGAAAAGGGCAGCATATAAATCAAATTAAAAAAAAAAAAAGTCTTGGTTTAGAAAAACTCATTAAAAATTACTAGAACAAACTTCATATATATATATTAACCTCGATCAGATAAGACATGTTATATTTCTTCTTTATGCTTTTAAAAATCTTGATGTTTATTTCCCTTAAAAGGTGTCCCAAAAGCTGGCTTTTCATTTTCTCTTTTCTCCTTATAACATCTTCATAACACATCTCTTTTCTAAGTCTAAGGTAAGAAAATCGTTCAAATCACTCTTCTGGTTTATTATTTGTGTGTGCCTTTTAGTTATTAAGATATCAGCCAGTTTAATTTGATTCTGAGTAACATCCTTTTTCATATTATTCTTGTAACTTGTCATTACAAAATATCCTTGAATTTTTCCAAAGTTAAAATACTTTCCTCCATTCTGTATTAGTGGATCTCTTCTTTAATTATAATCTTAACTTCTTTCTGGTTGGCTCGAATGCCCAATCTTCAAAATCTCTTATCGTGTTTTTTTCTAATCCACATTTTCTCATGGGAAAATGTCTTACACTTAAGATTCAAAATCTTTGTGTGTTTTAAATAGGATTTTAAATAAGCTGCAGAAAGGATTCAGATAATTAATTTCAAAATCTTATTTCCAATCCATCTGGCTTCTTAGTCTGCTAATAAATTTCCACAGTCAACATTCTAATAACCTTTTGTTGTTTATTTCAGAACATATTTTTTTCTTAAATTTACATGAAATCTCTTTCATAGAGGATTGAAGAAAAATCATCCAGTGTGATGAAATTTGTCATTCTGAAGGTTCTTAACTTCCAAAAATACTTTTCATGAAGTGATTAAGAAAGGAAGTGGGCAAACCCAATGTTTGCTTGAAGGCTCCGTACCGCAAATTTGACTTTTCCTTGGCTCCCAGAGCTCTAAAACCTACTAGAGACCATTGTTTTATGGTCTCCTTGCAGAGACCCTCTGTGTGAAATGCTTATAGCTGATCCAAGGTCCTTCCCTTTGTCCAGAAAGGAATTCTGAGGCACTGATTCTCCCAAGTCCTTGTTCTGCTGTGGTTATCTGTTTTGTAGGGGAGCCATCTTCAATAGGCCATTGCTTCCCCAGAGGTCAACCAGCATCACCTCTGATTAAATTGTCACCATGGCTTTTTCATTTTTCCAGGTTTTGAAACAGAACTAGGTGGATGGAATAGTCTGTGGACATGTAAGAAATGAAATTCTATTTTTTTCACCAAGTCAACATGATAGGAAATGCTCTAAAAAGATGTAGGCAGAAGCCATGAGAGATTGCCCATCTTTAGCAGGATTTGCTTCAGCAACTGCATGCAAATTCCCCTCTTCTAATCACTTTGAGCGTAACTCTGATCTCATCTGATGTCATGTCTTCCTCAGGGAATTAGCAAACTAACCTTGAGAATAGCAGATTCTCACTCTGCAGCTTCAAGTATTACACGTGGCCTAGAAACAGTGAGAGTCTTCTAGATCTAATTACTAGGAATATGCAGTTCTGACTAGAGGGCTCTGATAGTATGTGGGAATCACTTTGAGAGACAGAATGGAGAGCCACAGACTGAACAAGTGGCATGTAAAAGATGTCTCTGCCTACAGAAGGGAAGGATGGCATGAGAAAAATTTCCGAAGGAAAGGAGGGGAGAAACACAAGTTTCTGTTAATGTAAGCTAACAATAAAGACAGAGTTAGTACTCCTGACTGAGCTTCTTGGGTGGACTACTTTGCAGGACTATTGAGGTGATGCTCCAAATCCAGTCATACACAGGCAAAGGGTAACAACAGCTTTTGGGCCTCATGCTTCCACAACACCCATGAAGTCTTCATACTCCCTCTACTGGTCTAAAATCCCAGTTTATAGAAGTGTCAGGATGCTGTCTTCTTAAATATGCCATGTAGGAGTTAGTGGGCGCAGGTTAGCATTAATTGTGCTTAAGGCCAGCATTAAGATAGCTTGCCTTGTATCTAATGCAAAGGTTGCTAAAGAGAGTTGTGAATGGAGGAAATGCATAGAGAGTTAACTCAGCCTGAATCCTTTCCGCTGCCATTCCCCCACCTCCCATAAAGATTTCAGAGGTTTTGACTGCAAGGCCCAAATTACTTTTTATATGAACAGCAGATTCTTTGTTCCCAGTCTCAGTTTGTGCATGTGTTGAACGTTCTACTTTAAAGCTTTTGATTTACACTTCTTTTTTTGAAAGTAACGTAAAATAAAGTAAAAAGTAAAGTAATAATAAAAAATAAAATAATAAAACAAAGCAAAGCAAAACAAAACAAAATAAACCAGGCAGTCTCATTTGGAATCTCCCCTCTTTATATATTTTTTTAAAAAAATGTTACTCTGGTACATCTAGATGAGCAGATCCACAAAAAATAGTTTCAAGAGAGATGATGATGTACGATCATGCAGGGATGAAGTGTGTAAGGAAGTGAGTGAGACAATTTTTAAATGAGGAATCCTTAACATACTAATGTATTATAGTATACAACCATGATCTGCATCTACCGTATTTTTCAGAGTATAAGACGCACCTACCTTTTTTGGTGAGGAAAAGAAGAAAAAGAAATCTCCCTCTGCCTCTGAGCAATTTTGCCTCCTTGCAGCAAACAGCCTGCTTTACTTTCGTTTTCGTTTTCAGCACAGCTTGATTAGCACAAGGGAAAAAAATCTGCTCCAGCAATTTACCTCTTTGCAGCAAGCAGCAGAGCCCTGCACAAAACAGCTGAGAGCAAATCAGCTGAGAGTCGGATCCAATCAACTTGTGCTAATTAGACTGTGCTGAAGCTTAAAGGAGCTGTTTTTTCCTTGCTGTTTGCTTGCAAGGAGGTAACTGCTGCGAGACAGAGGCCAAAGGGTAGGGGCCAATGGATAGGCGGGGCTACATTTGGTGTATAGGACACACCTAAACTTTCACCTCCTTTTAGGGGGGAAAAGGTGCGTCTTATACTCTGAAAAATACGGTAGTTTATCCCACCTTCTTTTGAAAATCACTAGAATCCAAAAGCAATTGACCACTAGCCATTAGCTGAGCAGGTTTTTGCTATCCAACTATTACTCCTAAGACTTCCATTCAGTTATGGGGGGAGGGGGTTGGATAATTTTGAGCTACCTGCCTCTAGACTTCACAATAAACTCTGGTTTACAAAAGCTTGCAAATGTATAAGACAACAAACCCCAGAATTCTCATAGTTGATAATTCTGGAGATTACAATCCAACATACTCCGAGGATATCTGGAGGTCTTAGATGGGAAATGAGCCTCCCTCCTGATTAGATTTATGTGCTTCTCTCTTCAACTGGGGAAGTTCTGAGGACAAATTCAATAGCTTCCACTTTTCTTTTAGACTAATTATGGTTGACTAATTATGGTTGTCACATTGCCTGAAATGGGTACTTTGTGATTAATCTTATGTATGATTTGCCTGAAAGCAGGAAGAATCAATCCATTGGCTGAGAAACCAAAGTTAAGCGTAGCTCATTGTTCAGGAAAATACAGAAGCAGAGAGGCGTAAATGGACCTAGATGGGATATTAAATTTATCCTGAGGTCCATACACAACCATTAGCCACCTCTTCAGCCTGAAATAACAAAGCAACAAGCATGCCACTAACAGTCTGGTGTCTTCAGGCTCCTCCCATTACTAACAGCATTTTCAATCCATTGACAAGTGGGATAGCTTGGGAATGTCCCATAGATACTGTTGAAATTTGAGGAGAAGTTGCATGCTCTTTCATAAAACAACTGCCAAGACAAGGAGGTAGTTATGCATTCACAAGGAGACAGCTATAATGTACATAGCCATCACAAGACACAACCGACCAGACAGCAA